ATGGATGACTCTGCTTAATGCTTAACTGTTTAAAAAAAGCCTCTAAAAATTTTAAAGTGCCCTCAGCAGGAGGACACGAGAGAACCACGTGCCTCCTCTACATAAGGAATTTTTCGCCTTTTAACTCTTGCTTAATTCTGCTCAAGTGATCATAAAGATAGACTAAATGAGGCACATGGTTCTCTCGCCTCCTCCTGCAGAGGGCACTTTTTTTAGAGGCTTTTTTAAACAGTTAAGCATTAAGCAGAGTCATCCACTGTGACTCTGGCAGCAACTACCTTAGCCTTTTTCCTTTTAATTTTTTTTTCTTTTCATGATGACAGTGGTGATGGCCTCCATGAGAAGCCATTGTTCTGTGTGCTATAGTGATAAAGAAACTAGTCCAGTCACAATGAAAGGAATAACCAGTTTGTTAAGAATTAAATCTATCTTACAGTTTTTCCCAAATCATAATGAATAATAGTAATCATAATCAACAATGACCTCAGTGGAAAAGCAGAAGACTCTCCTGTGGTAAAAGAATATTTTTCTTGCACTCTAGCTCTGAGTTTGTGTTGTAATAAGCATAGGGGCACCAAAGCTATTTGACTGGCATGGAGTCATATGTATTTATACATTTTTATTTGATATAAAACTTATATATTGTATTTTAGAGTGAGCTAAAACACTTAATCTACTTAAAATATGTGCCTTTCTATCCATTTACAGCTTGAAGAATGGGTGTTTTACTTGTCGGGAATTGGTCTGATACCTCAACCAATGGAACCAGCTAGTGTCAGTTCTTGTCTGGGTCACCATTCTTCTATCATTGTAAACTTCAAGAATCCTACATTTGAAGAAGTTGTGGTAGATATCATTTTAACAGGTATAACTGCCCTTGTTCTCCTTTATGACTGGGAAATTTGATTAGCCATCTAAAGAAAGCTTTAAAAAATTTCTACTGTATACAATGAAATGATGTTTTCTTTTTTAAAAATTAATTATATAAAACTAATTTCTCCCAACAGTGAAGATTGAGATTCATGGTAGGCCTTCTACCATAGCAACTAGGATGTGATATAGGGTTTCATTCTGCTCACAACTACCCAAGATAGGCATGTATAAACAGAGGCATAGAATCAGAAGCACGTGAAATATTAGTACCACTTTATAAAACCTTAGTAAAACTACAGCTGGAAAACTCCATTCAGTTTTGCTCACCATATTACAAAAAAGATGTTTTGGAAAAAAAATGCAAAAAAGAGCAAAGCCTGGAGACTGAAACGAATGAAGAGTGGTTGCAGGATTTGGGTTTGGCTAGTCTAGAGAAAAGGACTAAGCAATATTCCAGTATTTGAGAGACTGCCACAAAGAGGAGGGGGTCAATTTATTTTCCAAAGCACCTGCTCTCTAGTACAAGAAACAATGGATGGAAATTAATCAAGGAGAGGAGCAACCTGGAATTAAGAAGAAACTTCCTAACAGTGAGGACAATTAACCAGTGGAACTTTCCAAAGTTATGGGTGCTTTATCACTGGAGATTTAAGAAGCGACTGAACAGTCACTTGTCTAAAATGGTATAAGGTCTCCTACTTGAACAGGGGGCAAGTCTAGAACAGGGGTCACCAACCTTTTGGACCTCAGGGACCACTAAATTCATAATTTTAAATCCAACGGACCATTAATAAGATCTGCCTAATGACCGGCTGAGTGGGCACGGCTAGATGGTCATGTGACTGAGTGGGCATGGCCAATTTGATGTCACTNTTGACTAAGAATTATTTACTGTTTATCTCACCTCTCCTCTCCACAGGCCCACACGAGATTATACCTTTATAACCATCTTTATTTATTAATAAGATTTATAGATCTTTTTCCTCAGTCCCAAATTGTGTTTAGTTACGTGTTAACAAGATAGACATTAAAATCTAAAACAATCTAAGAGTGTTCATCTCCGTTTCAAAGCCGAAGAGCCAACGCTGTCCGAAGACGTCTCCGTGGTCATGTGGCCGGCATGACTCAACGCCAAAGGGGCATGGAACACTGTTCCCTTCCCACCAAAGGTGGTTCCTATTTTTCTACTTGCATTTTTTTACCTGCTTTTGAACTGCTAGGTTGGCAGAAGCTGGGAGAAGTCACGGGAGCTCACTCCGTTTTGCGGCGTTGGGGATTCGAACCGCCGAACTGCCGACCTTTCTGATCGACAAGCTCAGCGTCTTAGCCCCTGAGCCCACCGCATCACTTTAGCTTCCTTACATATCGAATTATAACATCTTCCCCCCCCACCCCCCACTTATAATGATCTTGTAATCCCTTGCATCAGGGTGGAGTCGGGGCGACTGGATGGAGCTGAACATTTACCGGCCAGATGGCCTTCCTGACGCCTAGGTGGAGTTCACAGCAGATATTTCCTCTTTGTGCCCTGAGAGAGAAATATCTGCCGCTGCCTAGCATTGAACTCACAGCCTCCTGATGGTGAGGTGAAAGCTCCACCTCCAGGCCACCACGCAACTTAATAATTGAATTGGAACATCTGTGGAATTCTATCGCTCTTTATTATGGCTATTTTATTTGGTTTTCTATAAATTTAATATTTTATCTCCTGTATTGTTCACATATATGAGAACAAGACAATATAGTATATGTATGTACATAAGTATGTGTGTGTAAATCTATCTATCTATCAATCATTTATTAATCTATTATCTAGTAATCGATCCTCTATTTATATCTAGCTAGCTATCTGTATCTATCTATCATCTATTATCTATATTAGTCTATTATCTATCTATCATCTATTATCTATATCTCTGTCTATCATCTATATCTATCATCTAATCTATTAATCTATCATTATATCTATCATTTAATATATTATCTATCATATATTATGTATATCTATCTATTAATCTATTATCTATATTAATATACTTTGTATCATCTATTATCTATCTATCTATCATCTACCTACCTACCTATATCATCAATTTATCATCTATTAATCTATTATCTATATTAATATATTATCCATCATATATTATGTATATCTATCTATTAATCTATTATCTATATTAATATACTATGTATCATCTATCTATCTATCTATCTATCTATCTATCTATCTATCTATCTATCTATCTATCTA